TGTGGTGCGAGGGTGTGTGTGTGTTTCAGTGTATAAAGGGGGACAGTTGATTGGATGGGGCTCTTTGCTGTGTGCTGCAGTCTGCCAGGGGCCGGCTGGCCGGCTGGTCCAGGCTGTCTGTTTTAACTCAGATTGTGCTGACAGAATAATTGATCTGTTAAGTTTTGCTTGTGGGCCCAGATGTGATGTATGAGATGCACTGTAAATTCCTGTTGTTTTTCGCTCTGATTGACCCTTGAGTCAGTGCTGCTTTGCTGCTGCTTCCTTTTCATGGTGTGCGTATCCCTCCCTCTCGTAAACGATAACTGGGTCTTAGACGAAGGCAGCACTTTTTATTTTTATTATATTGTTTTTTTTAAGGTTTTGTTGCTCATTTACATTTACAAAGTGTGGGAATCAGTGTTTCAGTGTTATACTCCATGACCCGGGCAGTGGGTGCGTGCGTGTATCTGTGAGCTCAGGACAGTGTTGCGTTAGTGTGCGTGGTTGGACAGGGCAGTGTGTGCATGTGCTTCTGTGTGGCCAGTGTGTGTGGCTGGGGAAGTGTGCGAGTGTGTGTGTGTGGACAGGGTGGTGTGTGTGGTCAGGGCAGCGAGTGTTAGTGTGTGTGTGGCTGGGGAAGTGAGTGCTTGTGTGTGTGTGGATGAGGTTGTGTGAGCATTAGGGTGTGTGTGCGCGTGCATGTGGCCGGGCAGTGTGGTAGCAGGGAGTGGCAGGCTGTGGGCAGAGGCCTGTTGATGGTTTAACCCAGAATGCTGTCAGTGTTTCAGCACTGCCACCCAGCCAACCAGCACCTGGAATGTAACTGTTGCCCTGGTTTAAAGTAAAAATAAATGTTTTATGTTTCTTTGCTTTGTTCAATAAATAGTTTGGCTTTTTTTTAAAAATAAAGTGTTATGCTTTTTATTTACTCCTTTATTTAAAAAGATAGTAAAAGCTGGCAACCAGAAATCCCCAGTAGTTTGTGTTTGTTGTTCTGGGTTTGTATCTCTGCCTTTGTAATCGGACAGTGTTTGCTTTGTCTTTTCTTTGATCCTTTCAGGCCTGGTCTGCAGGTCTTGTGGGGATGCACAGCTGGAATTTGAACTGGTAAACCCCCATTCACACACTCACACACCTTTGCACATGTGCGCACACACAGGCACACATACAAATACCTTTGCTCACGTGTGCATATACATACAACTGTGAATGCACGCACACGCATAGACACACAGACACACACCCCTGTGCACATATGCACAAATTGGGACAGTCTAAGAGAACTGGAAACTTTCTTCGTTTTGAGTGTTTCCTAAATCACATTTAACCTTAGGAATCTGGTTAAATGTGAGATTAAGTGACTGAAAGAAATTTGATATGCATTCTGCGGGAAGTTAGAATCTAGGAGATGAAGTGGTGGTTTATTCTTTGTGTTAAACTTTAATAAGTTTAGTTCTTGTGTTCCACAGTAACATAGTCGTATTTTATTACCTTGTAAAATTCTAAAACAGTAGTAGAAATGATTGAAAAGCATTATTATTTAAGAAACACCAAATCTGTAAAGTCTGTATGCAATTGTTTTTATTGCTGATTTGATTTTGAATATATAAAAAAAATTACATTTTCACTGTGGCTTTTAAAACAAAAAAGCCCATCAACATTTTTATTTAAACAGAAAGAAACCCACAAATGAAATTTATACAAACAAAAAAAATATTGAATTATAAAACTTTTAGACATGCAATAAATACATTCATTTTTATTTAAGCAAATACAAACTTATTAACATTGTAATGTAGAAAAATACTGCTTGGATTTTGTGTATTGCCACACGTAAAAAAGAAACATTTAACAAGTGATCATAAAGACATCTTGAACATTTGTAATATTGTAAAAAGAGGCCAGCTGTTTGTGTCTTATGAGGTTCCTGTTTGATAAGTTTGTTAGGTGCCCAGAATGCTCTACAGGAGACTTGTTTAATCTCCTCTTCCCTCTCACTACCACTAGGGCCCACAGCTGTTAGCCACTGTCTCCCAGTTATAATTTCACAGGTCGTTTAGGCATTGTGGTTCATTTCCAGCTGTGATATGAGAGAAGTATGTATAACCACTACTCTCGCCGATATTTTTTAAACATCGGATTGCTCATTCCTCACAGTCAGCCCACGTCCACGCTGATGATAACCCCGACAGCTGTCGGAGCTGGGAACGGGGACTGGCTGAAGTGGCCTAACCGGCCGGCGGGCGGGCGAGCGGAGAGCTGGATCTCGGGCTGTCCCTGAGCCGGGCCGGGTCCCGCCGCCAGCGTGACTGCGGGACACCGCACTTCGCCCCGGCAGTGTTTGGCTGGGCGCTGGTCTGGGGAGCGAGTGGAGCCAGTTTAAAAATGGCATTTTAAATTACACCCGACACTCCAAAAGCACAAGGCAGCCTGATTAAATCTGACCTAATCTGGCCTGATGAAAGGGTATGGCAAGGATGCTCCCTCCTAGCCAGCTGTGTGCATTAAGAGCCCTCCTCCCTCTGGCTCCCTGTCTCACTGTCTGTCTGTCTGCTCCTGGGCTGGAGCTCAGCTCTGCCTCTCACCCACTGTCTGCTCTGTCTCTCTGTCTGCTCTGTCTGTCTGTCTGCTCCTGGGCTGGAGCTCAGCTCTGCCTCTCACCCACTGTCTGCTCTGTCTCTCTGTCTGCTCTGTCTGTCTGCTCCTGGGCTGGAGCTCAGCTCTGCTTCTTGCCTGCTGTCTGTCTGCTCATCAGGGTTAAAGAAGCTGATGAATCCAGCCTAGAACAGATCCATGCTGTGGAACATCTAGACCTTTTTTATAAATTGGGATTTTTCCTTTTTTTTTTTCAGTCCGATGTTGATAATCCTCATTTTGTCATTTCTCTTCTCACGCACGGCGTGATAGCAAATTATCCGGGCTGCTTTTTATCCGGTTTTCGGAATGTGCCTAAAGACTTTTTTGAAAGTCATGTCAAGTCCTAATACAAATTTAAGACGTCGTTCCTACGGCACGTGATATAAATAGCACAATAAATCTGCTTTCTGAAAGAACTCACCGTCACATGAAAATGTGATTCAGTGCTGTTTGGCAGAGTGCAGACATCCGCATTAAAGAGCATAATTGCAATTTTTCTTTTTTTAAAGCAATTTTGTTTGGCAAGTTCTTTGGCACGGCCTCCATCTTCCTTTGCAGCACATGTACTTACTGAGTGGCAAGACTGCGGACAGTCCAGAGTTGTGCAATTTTTTTTTCATTTCTGTACTGGCGTTTTTCCCCTCAGAATAATGTGCCCCTTTCTCAACATTTGACTTCGGTCACGTTTCTCGCCCAGTGTCTTTTTTTAAAGCTTTAAAGATCTATAGTGATTTTTAAATGCAGAACTCTGATCTGTGGTTATTTCGTAAGTGCTGAAATGTAGTTTAAAACACATCACCCGTAATTTTAAACTTGTTCCAAAAAATTAAAGTTAAACCAAAGGTAGAAAAAACTGGACTGAAATGTATTGATTTGTTTTCTTTAGTGTGAAAAACAGCGGTAAGAGTTAAGGCACTGGAAGAGAGGCAGTGGGGGCTAGTGGTTAGAGCTGAGGCACTGGGAGAGAGGCAGTGTGGGCTAGTGGTTAGAGCTGAGGCACTGGGAGAGAGGCAGTGTGGGCTAGTGGTTAGAGCTGAGGCACTGGGAGAGAAGGAGGGAGGCAGTGTGGGCTAGTGGTTATACCCTGGGGTTTTGTGAACTTTCTGAACCTTCAGAAAGTTAAGTGGGAAAACTGCAGTTGTATGAATAAATATTAAACAGCTGGATGAAATAAAGACTCCTATACTGTAACAGCCCCCTCTCTCCCTCCCTTCATCCCCACCTCTGAGAATGAGGCTGAGCTGGGTCCCTCACTGTGTAGAGACCCACAGCTGGGTCAGCCTACACTGCAGACCACAGCCCAGACTCGGTTTTCTACAGAGTCAATACATTATTCAAAACAAATTCAATACAAATCCCTGCAGAAGGAAGGCAATACAAATGAACAGTATTAAGGAAAAAAATATTTTTGGGGATACTGGCTAGTCTGCATTGCATGCTAAAATACTGCCTCTCACTTGTGAATTGAATTGTCCGTATTAGCAGTCTGTGAAATGTAACAGACAGACTCTCTTTGTTGGAGGCATTTTAACAAGGCAAAGTTGGCACTCAGGGATTTATTGGTTAAGGCAAATACACGAATTTTCAATACCATTCTTACTTGTAGCTTTTATTCAACGCAGAACCCTATAACCTTCAGCTGACTGGTGTTGCATAGTTAAAAGGCTGTTTCCCATCTGCACTGTATGGAAGCTAACATCTCTCTGTCCGTCTCCTTTCTCTGGCCCTGCTGTTGAGGCAGCGCAGTGCTGCTCACTCTCTGCGAAAGAAACTCATGCTCCTACTAAACTGCGTTTCAGCGACGGTGACATTTCATCTTCCCGGGTCTTCCTCTCTGTGGCTCTGCTGGCGTCTGCCTGGGTCCTAACTCAGCTGCGGTAGGTGTCCTCTGCAGTGCCTGCAGGAATTGTCAGGTGCTCCAGCTGAGGAACATGTTTCCAGAGAACAGGGCCACTCGGCCTCTCGGGGGGACTGCCCTCTGAGCGCTGTGCTTGTACAGGCTGAGCTGCAGGTGGCCACACTGTGTAACCCCTGCATGAATCTTTCCAGTAAAACCAAAGCTGGTTTTCTAGGTGCAATGCCGGACCTCACCACGCTTGTATTTGTCAGTGAGATTCGTCTGGCGTCATGAGTTAATTAGTCTTTCGCGGGGCGTGGCACGTTGTGAGAGGGAGGTAGGAGCAGAGACCTTCAGGTCGAAACGATGGTGAGGGGGCAAAGACCTGACGCAGGCTAATTTTAAACCGTCCCACCCGAGTGAGAAAAAGTCGAGCTGCGTGTTTTTGTTGTTTTTTTTCTCAATGGCACGAGGTCGGGAGGTGAGGTTTCTCTCCCGTTGTCAGACAATGGGAGCAGCAGTGCCCCCCCCCCCCGCCCCCCGGAGAGTGTGCTTCCTGCCCCGGACCTCCCGCCCGCCCCCTAAGACCTTGAGACAGGCCTGGCTGACTCAGGCAGCCGCTCGGCCCTCCTCTGCTGACAGGCCGCTGACGAGGACCCGACTCCTGTCCCTCCTGGGGATCATGAGCGGCCCTGGAAAAATCTGCTGCACTTTTTCTTCCAGTAGTGGAACAAGAGTGCAGGAGACTTCCTCATGTCATGGAGGTGAACTGAAATGGTTTCTCTCACTCTGCTGGGGAGTGACGGCTGTTCATTATGGAGAACTCTTTGAGGCTTTTTGAAACTAGCGAACGATGTGCCAGATTCCCGCAGGAGTACGGTGTCGTGTACTGACCCTGCTGTGCTGCAGCAAGGTGCAGGCTGTGCAGAGCGTGTATCTGGGACAGCCACAGACACACTTTATTAGATTGGTCTGAAGCGTATTATTCATTTGGCTGCTGCTTTAATCTGACGCTTCTAACAGCTTGAACCTATTCATATAGCTGGCCGTGGAACAGTCTCAGTGAAGCACCTTGGACCTGAAGGACCTGTGCCACACCTGGAACTGAATCCACGATTCACAGTGAGATCAGAGCCCTAGCCTCTGATCCTCGATGCCGCACAGGAGTGCCCTACAGAGTACTGGGCTGCCACAAGGCCGGCAGCACAGTGTCTTTGTCCCTTGCCTGCTCCGGATGAAATCAAGTAGCATGTTTGCTTGAAAAAGGTCTCTTCTTCTCTTTCTTTCAAGCCGCGCACTGAAGAGATCTGCGACACCCCACCTTCCCCTTCGCAGGGAGCTCTGAGCGCGTCTCTGGCGGGGTGTTGCAGATCGGCCTCAGATAAGGACCCAGCGCGAGAGAGGAGCACTCTGCCGAGAGGAAACACCGAGGCAGCAGCCCAGCTCAGAACCATCAAATAATGAGCCGAAAACAAAAAGCATTTGAGTTCGGCAGGAATTGTCCTGATGCCACTCTGCTCATCTGCCCTTCCTGATGCACGTGACCAGACCTGGACCCGTAGCCCCTGCTGGTCGCTTGCAGGTCACCACCCTGCCTTCCCTCCATAACTGTCTAACAAGCTCTCAGGTCACCCTTGTCCTGTATAGAGATAAGTCCTCACATTGTAAATGAGTAATGTTTGTCATAATTTCAAAAAAAAAACTGATTTAAAATACTTGATGGGTACAGCCTTGACTGAGCAATATTTGGTACTATTATTTGGCAATATTTTTTGGCCTGCGTGGCAAAGCTGCAGGTGGAACCATCTGACCACAGCAAGCATCACCATTATTATAATGAAGATGATGAATCAGCCAATGGTATGGTGCTTTGGAATATCTCCTCTTTGGCCTTTCACTCCGTTATGGAGATGCTGATCAGAGCCCAGCGTGCAGCCCGGCACAGTGAAGCCAGGGCGCAGTACAGACACCGTAAACCCTGATGCTGACCTGGGGGGCACGTCTGCAAAGCACAAGACAGGAACAGCCAGCGTGAGCCTCACCCAGGGGCCAGCAGCTGCAAGACACAGGAGGGGCAGCGTGGGGACTCGGGTGAGTGTACACTGCTCGGGCGCGGTTGTGATTTATTCATAACGCCTCCGATGTGCAGGTTTTAATATCTTGTTTTCTATAATTTCACATGAAGACAACCAAACACGGCTCCTCACAGCTCAATTCACATTTAGACATTTGACCTAATGCTACAAACCTTGCTACTACATGCACCAGACTGGACTATGGAGCAGGCAGGATCTGCACGCGCACACGGCTTGGTGCAGATGGATGCAGGCTCCCACATGCACCCAGTAAAACCGGTCGGGAGGGCACAGCCCTCTGGCCCAGTTACGCCGTCAATCCACAAGTCCCAAAAACAGCAGTCTGACTTTGCCTTGTCAAAATGTAGCAAGGTGTTGATGTAGAGCACGTTAATGTTTGAAGAATAAGTGCAAGAAAGAGTTTAAATTGAGGAAAACAACCACAGGCTGACAGGTCCATACCCCACCCCCATCCCCATGTCTGATCCCGACAGCCGGGCGCCGATTCCTTTCCCTCCGGACTGTCTCGGGATGCGGCTAGCCCCAGATCCCCTCTCCAGAGCGGAGCAGCGCTCAATCCCAAGGTAAACGCTACTTTTTGGCTAAAGAGAATTTCTTGAAGCAAAACCGCAAATCGAGCACTGATGTGGTGTGTTTCCCCTACACAGGGGCGTTAAGGCACATGATCTCCCTCCTCCCCTGAACTTCCTATTGGTCCAGCTAGGTGAGGTCGTAGGTCACCAGCGTTAATTCACCTAATGACCCTGGTTTGACCCCAGTGGTCTTCCGTGGTTCTGGATAAAGACCTTTTCTGTTCGGAAAGCCAGACAGGATTTGCAGGCATAAACTAAGTACAGGGTGCTGCAGAATTTCTGCAGATTATTTGGCTGCCCCCTCTATGTGCTGTTGGGCTGTGCCGTCATTGATCGGGCAAAATGAGTGGGTTTGAAAGGTCTAGGAGTGACAGAAAGGTCAAATTCAAACTCCGTCTCATGTGCAGACCGCTCTCAAGCACAGCCTGGCTCTCGGACCTCTCTGTGCCCGGTGGGTCCCCTTGAGCCCCAGCCCTGTGCCACACAGAGGATTGAAGACCCGGGGTGATCAGGGACTGTCTTGAGCGCGTTCTGCTGACGGGAGCAATTCGTTTTTCGGGTCAAAATAAGCAAGTGTGTGATTGTGCTGTTGCTGCAGAAGCCCTTAGCTCTTTGGTACCTGTCGTGGGGGATGGAGCCTGACTGTGCACGCAACTGACAGCTGCACTGGGGAGGCCTGAGCTCCTAACCCTGCCTGAGACACAGTGAAGACGGTCTGGAAGAGCTCGCGATTTCACAGGGATCGGGACGCCAGCTGAACTCGACAGGGGCTGGAGCAAAGAAAGGCAAGCGTTTCTCTTTCCACTTTTCCTAATAAGATTAACGCCATTATACCATTTAGTAAATGATGAGGTGGATCAACTGATTGTCGTATTACAGAGAAGTATATTTAAAGCTGAGAACGGAAGGCACTTATTTACCCTTATTTAAGAGTTACCAGCTACCCGGCCATGTTGTTAAAGCTGATACCCTGTCTTGTGTCGAGAAATGACTGCTTGAGATCCTGAGATCAATTAGCTCCTAACTACAGATGGAGTTGGACAGGCTGAATGGCTCCTCTTGTTTGTCTCGTGTTCTTAATTAAATTCAGTGGCCAGTATGAAGGAAGATAACTGAGGAATCGACACCCCAAAGCCACAGCATTGCTGTGTCCCTTACAATATCGTCGGTTCAGTTTCAGTTAAATAATATACTTTTCATTTGTCTGGAGACTGTCCCTGGTTGTTTTTTTTAAACATTGGGTTGCTAGTTAATAGTTTTGTTCTGGATCCGGCGTGTTTGGTTTGTGTATAAAAGGGCCAGGGGGAAAGAGTCAGGGTTTGCAGAGAACGAGGTGAAAGGAGTCCCAGTCACAGCCCGATAAGGTACTGGAACCGGGCTGGACCAGAAACAGACGGGCCACTGGCACTCTGGGATTGTGCTTTTATAAGGTTTGCCCAGTACCCTGGCCTCTTTCTCACGGGTTGCCCTGCTGTCCACAGCAACAGCGCCTGCTGGGCGGTCTGGCCAGTGGGTTGTGGGTCGAGGCGGCGCTGGCCCGCGAGGAGAGCGAGCGGGAAGCAGCCTGGCACTGCCCCTGAGCAGCCCAAGGGAGCGGACTTTAATAAGTGAAGTACCGCAAATATAAACACATTGGCTTATGGGGCATAAATTAACTGGAAATTGCATCATAATTATGGTGTCACTGCAGATGGAGCCCTGTTCTGCACAGTAAATTATACAGTTGAAATTCGTTTGTATAGTAAATAGAAAAAGAAAACTGCTTTATTTACCTAATGCACTGCCAGAAAGAAGGAAAGTCCTGCCAGCTCCAGGAAAGTCCGCCCTCATCCTTCAGAAATTCCCTGGGTGGATGGAGGTGGAGGGCAGGGGGAGGGGCAGAGGATCTGCTCCGAGTGAGCACCCACAAAACCATCGGACTGTACAATCCCCACGGCAAGGCTCAGGCCAGACACCGAGCCGTCGCCGGCTCGCAGGAAACCCTGAATTAAGGCCGCACGCTTGCTTGTCCACACATTGCACAGACCTGCTCTCTGGCCGCGATCGGTTTGTCCTTTGGCTTCTTGTAGAGAGATAACGTTCGGTTGGTTGTAGGAAGAACACAATCTGTGTGTTTTTGGCTCGATGGCTCAACGCGAGTCTATAAAAACACTCCTCTCGTCGTCACTTAAAATATAAATAAGCACAGTAAACAAATGCAGGTGGCGAAGGCACAGGAGGTGGTGTAGATTTACAAAACATTTGGAAAAAAAGGAAGAGCTCGACCTTTCCCAACGAGAGTTGGCGTTGGCTTTCGGCTGTGGCGACGAGCCTGCGGGAGGCGCGAGGGGGAAGAGAGGGGCTCTCCGCGTTTCCCGTCGGGCTCCGCGGGCGGCTCTAGCTGGGCGAGTAGCGGTCGATGCTGCGCACCTCCCCGGGGTGGGGCTGCGCGGGCGGCTGGCCCAGCGCCTCCATCTTGTCGTGAGCGAGCCCCAGGTGCTCGGCGGCCAGTTTGGACAGCGGGAAGAGGCTCTCGATGGCTTTGGGGTCGGCCAGGAGGTGCTGGGAGGCCTGCGCCAGGAGCTCGGAGGCCTTCTCCTGCTTGAGGCCCAGGTGCTCCGCGGCGTACTTGCTGAGCGGGAAGAGGCCCTCGGCGGGGAAGTCGATCTTGAGCTTGCCGTCGGGCGCCACCCCCGTGGGCGTGCCGGCGCTGTGCATCTTCATGTGGCTGATGAGGTTGCGCTGCTGGGCGAACTTGCCCCCGCAGACCTGGCACTCGTAGGGCTTCTCCCCCGAGTGGATGCGCATGTGCTCGGTGAGGCGGTACTGCCGCGTGAAGCGCATGCCGCAGGCGTCGCAGGCGAAGGGCTTCAGGCCCAGGTGGCTGCGCATGTGGCGGGTCATGGTGCCGCGCTGCGTGAACTTCTTGCCGCAGATGCTGCAGGGGTAGGGCCGCGTCAGCCAGTGCGTCTTCTCGTGCTGCCGCAGCGTGGCCGGGTCCTTGTAGGACTTCTCGCAGGACGAGCAGCGGTACGGCCGGATGATCTCGCCCACCAGGCCCGGGCCGGGCTTGCTGTCCAGGTAGGGGTGGCCGCCGAGGCCGTTGTTGGCCCCGCCGGGGCCCCCGCCGGCCGCGTGGCCCCCGCTGTTGCTGAGCCCCAGCTCGCCGGCCGAGCCGCTGAACAGCTCCTCCTCGGTGTGCGCCTCCACGTGCGCGTTGAGCTGCTCAGAGCTGGGGAAGCCCTTGTCGCAGGGGATGCACACGTACAGGTTGTCCCCGAAGCTCTCGGGCTCGTAGGCCATGTGGAACCTCTCCAGCGCCCCCCCGGGGGACCGGCCCTCGCTGCTGCCCGTGTCCTCGCTCGTCCCGCTCTTGTCGTCCTCGCCGTCGCAGCCCAGGGGGTAGCCCGCCCCGCCGCCACCGCCCGCCGCGCCCAGCTTGTCCTCCCCGCCCTTGCCGTTCAGGGCCTCCTTGCCCCGCTCCTCCTCGTCCTCGTCCTCCTCCTCCTCCTCCTCGTCCTCGGCCGGGTAGGCCAGCG